CTCATATAGTTTGGGCTCCAAATAGAAAACATCTTCCAGATCCACTTGGGCTGTTAACTCCTTGAAATTCACCACTGTTCCTTTATTTTGCTCATATATTTTCTTTTCTTTGTCCCCCACAGTGCACGGATCCATTCTGGGCACTCTAGAGAAGCAATCTGCCAACACATTCTTTTTGCCCAGAATATATTTCCAGGTGATATCAAAGCCCTCAAGGGACAATTTCCATCTGAGAACTTGGGACTGGGACAGTGTCCTAAAGATGAGGTTCTTGTGATTGGTGTAGATGTTGATCTTGCCACCGTAGAGCATATTTCAGTATTCTTTGAGGCAAAGGATGACAGCTAAAAGCTCCTTTTCCATTGTGGTGTAATTCTGTTGTGTTTTGTTCAGCTTTTTAGACCAGTAGGCAACTGGTCTGTCATTTTGGAGTACGGGTGCGCTGAGCTGATAATCAGAAGCATCAGTGTATATGTGAAAGGGATCTTCCAGATCAGCAAAGGTGTTGATAGCATCATGAGCAAGGAGGGCTTTCATCTCTTGAAAGGTGCGGTTACACTCAGGTGTCCAAACATAAGGACCGGATCCAGTGAGTGCAGTCAGTGGAGCAAGTACATGTGACTTCCTTGGCCACATGGATTTGTAATAGTTTACTGCACCCAAAAAGGAACTCACTTGTTGCTGGTTCTGGGGGATTCCCATCTTTACGATTCCATCCACTTTCTTCTGCCAGGGCTTGACACCTGTCGGGGTAAGCCAATAGCCAAGGAAATCAGATTCTTTCACTGCCCATTCACATTTCAGAGGGTTACATTTCATCCCATTTGATGCTAGACGTTGAAGGACTGGGTCTACCAGAGATAGGTGTTTGCTGAATGGTCCTCTGGACCAAATCCCTGTGTCATCGATATATACTTCAACATCAAGGTTGACCAAGATCTTTGGTTATGAATGCTTGGGCATAATCCGGAGATGATTTAAGACCCATAGGCAATCTTAGGCATCTGTAATTGCCGTGTGTTGTGGTGAGAGTGCAAATCTTCTGGCTGGCTTCATCTAATTTGAAGCAATAGAACATCATCGAGAGGTCAATCTTGGTGAAGTGATCATACTGTGTTCTGCAATTCATGATGTCCTGAATCTTGGGGAGATTAAACTTGGGACACTTGATCCTTTTGTTTAGTTCTCTTAGGTCAACAATCCATCTGACTCTGCCATCCTTTTTTGGAATGATGAAGGCTGGGAAGCCCCATTCTGAATTGCCAGTGGGAGCAATCACTCCCTCATTGACAAGATGCTGGCACTCTCGTTTGAAGACATCCTTGTGTCTGTAGGGGACTGGGTATAGATTTATGTATACTGGTTCTGCACTGTCCTCTAGATTGATGTGAATCTTTTTGTGTGGATATCTGCCCAGTTTGCCATCAAACAACTCCTGGTGTTTGGCTAACATCTCTTTGAATGCTAGTCTTTCAGAATCATTCATGTGCTCCTGCTGGTCTGCAATCTGCTCCGGAGTCACTTTCTGGTACTGCGCGTCTAGGATTCTGTTTGGCTCTGTTCCAGTAGCTCTGGCAGCATCTGCTGCTAAATAACTGTCCAATTTGGCTGCACCTCTGCAGTCTTGTCGGTAGCTTGGGAGTAGATGAAACTCTAGGAATCCTCCATCTAAGAGCTCATCACCCTCTGCCAGCCACATAGCCTCTGCTATTTGCTGGGGATCATTGAAATGATCTACTGGCTTGATATCAATGGTGGAGCTCAGCCATCTGATAGTGTGTGTGGAATAGAAGAGGTCTATTCCAGTCATCAATAGGAAGTCTCTTCCTAGGATCATATCGTAGTTACAAGGGGCTGAGAAGAGCCTTGCATTGATCCCTTTTATATATTTGCCATTACCAAATTCGGGAAGTCATATGTTGGATATGAAGACATACTTAGAAGTATCAAAGCTTCCCTGGGCTGTGGTTGTAACTGAACTGGATTTGTCCTGGAAGGGGACTACCCCTGGTGGAAGGCAACGCTTGTGAATAAGGCACATTGTACTCCCACTGTCTAATAAGACATTGAATGTTTGCATTGTTGGTTGGTGTTGGATGGCTTTGCATACAAGGATGACAGCTGGTAGTACACCCGGTGGTGGTTTCAGAGCTTGCAAGGTCGCTGCTGTTGGATTCTTAAGAGCTTCTTCATTGCTATCAAGGCCATAGAATTCAAAGCTCTCCTCTGGTGATTGAGTAGATGGTGTTGGAGGCAATGCAAAGAAAGCCTCCTTTGGATGTCACCACTGTTGGTTTGGTCCTTGTCCTTGGAATCGGACAGATCTGGCATTGCTATTGGACTGTAAAGAGATGTGGCTTGGAGGACCTCCACTGGAATTAGAGCCGCTGTGTGTAGCAAGCTGGTAGGCCTGAGGTTGAATTGTTTGTGGTTGGAAGTTGCTCATATTTCCGCTTTCGTCAATGATGCACGAATAGGCACCTGGTACAAACCTCTTGTTGCTTGTATTTGAATTTCCTTGACTCCTCTGATTTCCCCTGTGGTTATTGTTGTTATGGTTGTTCCTCCAATTGTCACCTTGGTAACTGCTACCTCTGCTATTGAACGGGCACTCTCCCCACGTATGTTCTCCATTGTGCTTTTTGCAGGGCTTAAAATTGATCCTATTCTGTCTCTCTTCCAGGCTCTCATTCTGTCGGCTGTTATTGTTATTGCGTCGCTTCTGCTTTCCATTCTTTCTTGTCCTGCCTTGGTGTCATCTGCTGGTCTCTTCCTGGATCATTGCTGCTCCTCATCCACTATTCCTTTTTTTTCTGTCATGTACTGTACAATTTGATCAATGGTGTCATTAAGGATGTCTCTTCCACATCTGATGTAGTCATTCTGCCACAATTTGGGAAAGGATCTAAAAAGAATCTGTTTGATCTCTCTGTCTGATAAAGGTTGCCTCATGCCATGAAGGATGTTAGCTCTGGAACAACAGGTTTCAACTCTATCTGCATGGGCCTGGCAGGAACTGGAGTGGGGCTTTTTGATAGCGTCTGATTGCAAGTATTCAACAGCTTCATCACGAGCTCTCTTAGATGGTGCATAAAACTTCCTGAAGGTGAGCAGGGCTGTCTTCCACTGTTGCAAATTAGTCCTTGGTACGTCTGCTAGACTGTTATTGTTCCACATGCTATTCCATTTCTGTCTGGGTTTGTGTGCTAGGACCATTTGTCACTTCTTGTCTATCAGGTCCGCTGGTAGTTCCAAATCCTTTACGGTTCTTGTATTCCATGTTCCCCTGAGAAGGTCGTGCATGTCTTTGATAGCTTTCTTGCTGGGCGTTGAAGGTTCATGGTGAGGGAGACTGTCTTCAGTTGGCTCTTGTTGAAGTTGTTTATTAGGCTGAGGCAGGATCGGTGTGTATGCTTGGAGGAGGAGTTGATGTTCTTATTTGGTTTCACCATGGTCGATGTGTCATTTTTAGTTGAATTTCTTAATGGTTGATTAATATTTTTGATACACGAAAATCAAGTAGTAATTACTGTGCACAAAATACGTGTACTCTTAGTATGTTTAAGTGTAAGAAATCAAAATTATAAGATTAGAATTATTCGTAGAATACCAACCGCGTTCACAAGAATTCMAAAGTTCCAATTAGATCCTCATGTAGATCTGGTAGTGAATCTACATGAAGGTTCTTYTATTCTGGACTCGTGACATCTCTGTTCTTTGTGAGGTATTCTTGCGCCTCGTATCTTGGACCTCTTATGATCCTCTATAAGATGGATCCTACGGTACATACATAGGAAGGGTACCTTACGACATGTACGTAGGAATGGTATGTTCCTTCATTCCTTTCTTTGAAGCTTTGTACTGTATGTATACTTCTGATACAGTTAGTACTGTAGGTATCCATTGCACAGTGGCCTCAGTGGAGGCTGAGGCTGCATCTACCGGAGGCATCGATTCCTCTTCCGGGAGTGTCAATGGGTCATCTGCATCCTGATCCAGGGGCATTGATGCAGCCTCAGTTGGAGGCATTGATTCATCTTGGATAGACCCATCCCCTTAATAACAAGAGAGAGACTGATCCAGATAAGCCTGGAGGGGGTTGTGTGGTTATATTTATTTTCTTTTTCTGTATTATTTGTAGTGGAATGTGAAGTTGAGTGCAATGAATGTGAAGTTGAGTGCAATGGATAAGTACGTACTATGTTGAATTGATACCTACGTACGGTGTTGGGAGCACACGATGCTCCCTCAGAATGATGGACATACCACTCCTACCTATATATCATAAGGTACTATTCATATATATATATATATATATCATACGATCCATCATACTGAGAGGTCTAAGAATACGAGGTATGATTGAGAACAAGAATACTACACGTTTTGTAACAATTGAATACGGTTGCCCCAGAGAGCAAAAAGTAGTGGTTGGAAGTTCTTAACTTTGATTTGAAGTTATGAACTTCAAGACGTCCTGGCCTTTGAAATGCTGGGAGGAGGCTCATTGAGTCTCCATTGGGGAGGAGGGTCCTTGCTGGGTGGATCAGGAGGATCCTAGCCCTTTGGTCTGGGCCCAGTCATGGTTCCTGGGAGTTGGATGGTGCAAGTCTGAATTGGCTTGTGTAGAATTTGGTACTAATTTTAAGTATAATTTTCAGTTGAGAATCGTATCTTCATGCGAAGATGAAACACGGCTGCGTTTGGAAAAATTCAATTTGAAAATTATATGAATAGTTGACCACTTAGATCCTTACAATCTCAGACCACAAAGGTATGAACATACAGTACCACAGTTCCAAGAGGACCAGAATATCTGGTGGAACCAGTCCAAGAGCAATAACAGAAGAAGGAAAGACAAGGCTACAATAACTCAGGCTAAGAGCAGTTAGGAACAACTGCGCATAGTGCAGACTTTTGGAGCTAAAGGTGGAAGCTCTACATTAAAAGCAAAAAATGTTGATTTAAATTTAGAAACAATTTTCATCTGAAGTTCTTATATGTAGATACGACTTTTATAACATACTACTCGACGTATTCCAAAGAACATGAACAAATTATATATTATTGCTCGCATGAATCATCATCTTTCTGGCCATTTCGTGTGCATTTGACACACTGGGAGAGAGAGTTGAGGTTGGAAATTTCTGAATTGCTACCGGCCTTATTTTGGTTCATATATATCACAATGTTTCTGCCCTGAAACGGTAAAGTGTGTTTCCGCAACCGATCATCTTTTGCCAAAAGGTACTCCAAAAAATCCTCATAGGTTCTTACGAATTTTCCATCCGATAAATGCCGAAGAGGAAAGAAACAAGGAAAGACACAGCACGGAACGATTGCTACGTTTTTTTCGTACTGCAGAGCCATATCTAGTATATCTTCTGTAGGTTCATCCGGGTGCAAACCCACTAACATGCTAGAATTCTTGACGAGATCTTCTTGTTCGCTAATCTCTAGAAATGTCGTTCGATTGAATTCTTTCGACAACAAAGTCGGGTGTGGTGCTTGGGCTTTTTTAATTCGTCTAGCCCCTATGGGGTCAAATTTTTTCCCGTGCTTACGAACTAGGGGATCTATTACTGTTGATTGTATCTTCCCCTGCAGAGCTAGCTGTATGGACAGCTTACCCTTTCCACCGGCAACGTCCAAGACACCACCACCCCTGGCTAGGTTATCTTTTCCGTAGGTATCAACCAACCAAGTTGCAAATATCGTGGCTCTCATTCCTTTCATCTTATTCGTTCCATGAGAAAAATCTGCCACATCGCTAGCTTTCATCTTATTCCTGTTATCCAACGGACTTTCGCCCTCGAGATTCGATTTTCTCACGTCTTTCTTCTTTGGACCGAGCTTATGAAATTCGCCATTGAATTTGGAGAAAGCTTCGCACCTTTTCTGTAGGTAAATAGAACAAGAGACTCCCTCTGATCGACCTTCTCTGGCGGTCATAATTGCGCCTTCTTTCGGATTTACTTTGATCTTCCATGCCTCTACGCGATACGCGATTTTCCCCTTGGCTGGAACCCGTACATCCAAGAATACCAAGGCGCCGTATGGCAATGCGGAATTCTTGGTTGGAAATTCATGGTTTGTAGGTTTGATCTCGCTATCCCAAACAGCTTCTGGTGTTCCACGCTGGAACATGACTTCTATCTTCCTCTCTGGCGGTTGCTCGGGTGGAGATAGCAATATCGATGACTCGTCATCGCATTCTTCGACTAGAACGTCGGCGAAGGCAAGGTTCTTTCCCATGCATCGTCTGCGCGTGATAAAGCCGCGTAATTTCATCTCACTCAGTCAATCGAAATACTTTCATGCAATAAAGGCGACTCGACATACATTGGCGCTTTGAAGTGAAATCTCTCAATGAATTGGCTTCGCCGATAACAACAGGGACGATCATCGTTGACCGGAATACGGTACGGCACCATAATTTTTTTCAAACCGTACGGTATCGGTGTAGCGAATCCCGCAAAGTCTGGACTGGAGCCAGCGCGCAACGCGCGCAAATACGAACGAGTGGCTGGGAGCAGCTGCAGCAGTTAAGCAGCAACAGCAGCAACAAGAGGTGCGCCTTAGTATCCAGCAAGCACCTGCTCACTAAGACCACTATTGCTACCAACAGCAACGAACACAGTAGTAATAGAATAAGAGCAAAGCTATCAACCAGAACGGGGGCCAGCATCCATGCCTGCCCCAGTTCACCAGCTATAGCTGAATGAGCTCCACTTTCGGAGGCTCAGCAGACCGCCAGCCCCACCAGTATGCTGATCTGTTCCAGGATAGGGGAGCTGGCCCCTTTGGGCCCGCCAAAGCCTTACGTAAGACAGCCTACGAGGCTGTATACCAAAAATTCTGGGGAACAGGCCCGAATCCCCCAGCCGCAACCACACTACTAGGGGACGTGCTTGACCTCTTTGAAGCCCAAGCTGTAGGGGGAATAGGTATCTTCATATGCGACGCCACCTCGGTCCCCAGGCTCCGGCTGATACATGGCATTTGGAAATATCCAGGGAACCTCCTGGCCCCATCACAGAACTCCGGGAAGATATTTGGATTCCTAGATGATGAGGTCTCAGGCAGAGGGGAACTGGTCCAGGTAACTGCCAACATGTTTGCACTCACAGGCCCCGTGCGAGTCCTCACGATCGGACAACATTCCAACCCAGAGCTGGCATTCATCCCCGTACTCCCAAACAACACTCCGTTAACTGAGGATATCAAGTGCCGCCACACCTTTTTCATCCTGTTTGAGCTCGTCCCCTTGGTACTGGCAAAGAACCTAACACCCCGCAAAGCCTTCACTATCCTTCACCCGTGGCTGGAGGAAAGAGGTCTCCTCAACAGTACTCGGCCCCTCGTAGATGCAATACGTGTAGCTGGTACACACGTACGTACAGATCAAAGTAACACAGTGTGCAAAATAGCTGCTACGGAACCCGGTCCCCTATTCAGGGCCAAAGCAGCACTCACAGCTTTTATGGACCAAAAGGTCCTCCATCGGGACCTTCCCGGCCTGATATCTGTTCCCTCCATGGTTGGCCCTGAAACAGCGGCATTAACAGCCACCGTATTGACTCTTACAGACAATCAGTTACGAGCAAATGAAGCCAATGAGCAGCGAAGGGCCAAGGAGTCTAAGCCCCCCTCCATGGAAGAGGTCTTCGGCACCCTCAACACTTGCCGGTTACTAGCCTTATGCCAGGCCAATCAACCCAAACAACTGCCCCCCGTATACCAAGGATGGGCACAAAAGAAGAAAGGGGAAAAGCTTCATGCCCTCTTCCAAAGCTATGTAGATCAAGCGGCCCATGAGCTCTCCCTCCCGGCTCCTTTCATCCATAGCTACTCTAAAGGCATTTCAGGCCTTCTGTTTTTACAGGATTGACAAGTGTGAGCTTGGGGATGGAATATTGCCTATGGCCTTTGCACCCCCCGGAGGTTCCCCTAGCGCTAGAAAGAAGGAGTTAGAGGATGCCAAGGACGCAATGGCTTATGATACACTCGTGTTGACCCAAGGGAACTCAATAAGCCTCACCGATGCCCAAGTCCTGGGAAAGGCAAAGGGTTATGTACCAGTAGAATGGACTGAGGCTGTACTGCAAATAGAAGGATATCTCCCCGTACTAGCCATGCTCACGGGAGTAGATCACCTGATTGTAAGGAACTACATAGCAGGACTAGATCAACTAAAAAGGATCCAGCTAGGCCTATGGTATGCACTCAAAGACGAGTGTGGAGACAAACTAGCACCGGCAATGGTGGTCTACTACTTCCAAATACAAGTGAGAGGCTGGTTGGAAGAGCAATGGGACTCTGACACACCCATGGAAGTCCCAAGCTTCACCCAAGAGTTCCGCAACTTCAAGCTAACCAAGAACCTGAGCTGGCTACCAGTGATATCTGATGTTCCTGCCCTGCAGGCACTAAGAAAGTACCCTTCAGGAGGAGGAACTGGTAGTAGTAAAGGGGGGAAGGGAGCAAGCCCTGGGAACAACTGTACAAAGGGCCAGAACACCGTCAGCTCTCAGCAGAGCACCACACAGTCCCGAGTAGAGAATCCACACTACGACAGCCGGCTGGCCTCAGCAAGTGGTGAGTTTGGAACCCGGCTGAGGAGCTGGAAGATCTCCAAGGCCATGAGTGACATGAAGGCCAAGGGAAAGGGACCTTGGCTCCGCAATGATGGGAAGGAGATGTGCCACTCTTGGCGCGCGAAAGGATTCTGTTATGACAGCTGTAAGCTCAGTTACGACCACAAGGAGCCCCGGAAGAAGAAGCAGACAGGTTCTGGGAATGGTGCCAAGAGGCTTATGGCACCCAATGAGGAGGGGGCAGGCAGCCCGCTCCCACCATACCAGCTGCTGTGCCACTACCTGCTCATAGTAAGTTGCCACAGAGTACGGGGCTAGTAGAGGATTCAGCAGCAATCAATAGAATTTCTCAACTGCGAGCCAGCTTCAACTGGGGGAAGGGCAAACCCTTCCCCGTAGATCTAGGAAAGACTTCTACACACAAGTTTGAATCGTACCAACCAGGCGGGCCAGAGATCGTTTGGGCCCAGCCTCCCACACTCAAGAGTGAGAGCTGAGACTCTAGCGAAGACACCATACTGGAACCAAGGCCGATCCCCACGGCAGGTCGTGCACGAGATTATGTGTACTCTTAGTATGTTTAAGTGTGTATGAAAATTAAAATTATAAGATTAGAATTGTTCTAAGATTACCAAGCGCGTTCACGAGAATTCTGAAGTTCMGATTAGAACMTCATGTAGACCTGGTAGGGATTCTACATGGAGGTTCTCTATTCCGGACTCGTGACATCTCTATTCTTCGTGAGGTATTCTCTAATAGTATCCTAGACCTCTCATGATCCTCAACAGATGGATCGTATGATGGATCCTATGATACATACATAGGAAGCGTACCTTATGATAGGTACGTAGGAATGGTATGTCCCTTCATTCCTTCCTTTGGAGCTTCGTATCGTACGTACGTATACTTCCGATACAGTTCGTACATATCCGTTGCAGGTCGGGATCCCCCTCCACCGAGCCACTGTGTGGGAGCACGAGGAAGACAGTCCAAGCCCCATCACACGAGCATTACAAAAACACAGCCACTACCAACAAATACAAGGCCCGATGAGATATCCGTACCACCGGGACAGAGGCTCAACAGCCGTCCCTTAGACCATCTGGATCAGCATGTCCGGAAGGCCTCTGTGGCCTTCACAGCAGCCGACAACTGGGGGGACTTCATAAGATTGGTCCGGGGGAGGGGAGATCTACACCCAGATGTAGGCTCCCTATAGCACCCGGCAGCCAAACTACTGGAGACCTTCCAGCTGCAAGGGACCCCGGCACCTATGTCACCACCGCCCTGGAGTGTTGAGCAAATCACTGCCGCGCCGGCATGAGGGCCTCATAAGTCCTCCAACAGTGGGATTGATTTCCTCTGTAGCAAATATCCGGACATGATGGACAAGCAACAATGGACAGTGTTGCCTGCCAAGCTTATCGCCAACATCTCCGGATTGCGGCTGAGCCCCTTAGGGCTAGTGCCGCCACGACTGTATGATATCCAACTACAGTTTCTTTGGGGTCAACCAGGACATGCTGCAGGTTGCACCAATAGAAGCCATGTAGTTTGGACGGGCCCTGAAACGGCTGCTGTTTGAGATACACCGAGCCAACGATAGGTTCGGGCCCGTATACATGTCCAAGATTGATCTATCTGATGGTTTCTATCGGTTGTGGGTGATACCGGAAAATACCATAGGGCTCGCAGTCCTCTTCCCCCATTGCAAGGGGGAAGAACAGCTGGTTGGCATCCCCTTAACCAACCCTATGGGATGGTGCTCCTCTCCACCAAACTTCAGTGCTTGTACCGAAACAGTAGGCAGAGAGGGGGGGACTGAATTGTATGCGAAGCCTCCCCCACTGGTTGGATCAACTCTCTGAATCTCCTCCGCAACACGATACAGCCGAGGAAGGACAGACGGTAATATGGCAGCACGGGCCTGCTCGCCAACCAAGCTAGCCTGGTTACCACGGCTAGGCGACCCCTGCAGTACTGGGATATATATGTGGATGACTTTTGTGGACTTGTACAAGGCAACAAGTGGACTCGACAAGCTGTGAAACGGGCCCTACTGCATTCACTCGACCGGGTGTTTAGGCCCTTGGATACAATGGACACTCCTTACAGACAGGAGCCAGCCTCCGTGAAAAAGCTGATGAAAGGGGATGCCACTTGGGCAACCTCCAAGATCATCCTGGGGTGGCTATTGGACACGCGCCAGAAGACCATTAGCTTGCCGCCTCACCGTGTCGACCGCTTACATTCAATACTGGCCTCAATCAAGCCCAAACAAAAGTATGCCACAGTAGCCGAATGGCATAAGCTGCTCGGGGAACTCAGATTGATGTCCATAGCCCTACCCAGGTCACTGGGACTGTTCTCAATGTTGCAAGAAGCTCTGCGACACCAAGAGCAAGGAAGAAACAGACTACGACTCACAGGAGCTCTGCATGGATTCCTTGAAGACTTTAGATGGCTGGTACAGGATATCGCATCCTGTCCTAATCGCATAGCCGAGCTGGTGCCAGATACGTGGCCAGCAACAATAGGGGCGTGCGATGCAGCGGGTGATGGCATCGGAGGAGTTCACTCTATTCCTCTCCAAAATGGCAACATACGACCGTTGTACTGGAGGGCCCATTTCCCAGCGTGGATAAGACGAGAGCTGGTCTCATACACGAACCCTGACAGGTCCATTACCAATAGTGAACTCAAGCTGGCAGGGTCCATAGCCCACATGGATGTCCTGGCACAGGAAGCGGAGACCAGGGAACGGACAATACACAACCTCTATGATAACACTGCCACCGTACACTGGCAAAGGAAGGGAGCAGCAACCACCACGGGACCTGTGGCCTACTTGTTGCATGTCCAAG